GGATTGCTAAACTGGTGGAGGTGCTGGCGAGCTGGCTGACATTGAAGCTGCACCAGGCAAAGTCTACATCCAGAGTGGGAGACCTGGTTTGAGCCTCCAGATTCAATATCCAACCATGCTCGAAAGTAGCTACATTGAACTTTTCTGGCTTAAGTGAGTCTTCTTGGGATCAGTCCTCACTGAGATAGCAGTGGGTACTTCGTAGGCCCCGCCTCCTCACTTGCTTTTGTGTGACCAGGGGCCAGGACTGAGGAGGGAATCAGGGTGTACAGGGAAGGTCAAGGGAGTTGAAGGGCAGGCTACAGAGTGGAGCCAACAGCTTGAGCTAGGCCTGCAGGGGGCTGAGCAGGAGATAGTGACACAAGACATGGAGCTGGGACAGTCTGTCGGCTTCAGCAGTGCCAGCCATGGTTCCTGCCCTCCACACCAGAGAAGACCTGAGGCCCTGCTCAGCGCCAAGGCCAACCCCATTCTTCCTAACGGACCCGTGGCAGCTCTAGAGACATGACTCCCAGGGGTCCCTGTGCTCTTCTGCACTGATCTTTGCAGGTTGGGACACTGTCGTATGGAACACCATGCGTGCATGCGGGGCTACTCCAGGGCCATCACGGGCCCTGTGGACAGCAACACCTGCATCCTTGCAGCCCTTCATGGCCAGATGCCCCCGTCCCAGAGAAAAGAGAGATAGGTCATCCAGGGTCCCTACCAAAGGTTCCCAGGCTCGTTCTCCACAGATTCTCTAGATAATACGCTGCTAGAGAAGGTCTCTGAGAATACATGCCATAGGATAGGAGCTGGGTTCTAAGAAAGGGCTGGGGCCCGGAGAGAAATGAGGCCAGCCTCCAGCCAAACAGGGAGGGGGCTGAGGAAGCCCCCGGGATGGAAAGATCTTTCCCCCTTCCCCCCTCCGCTCATCCTCTTCCCTAGGACCCCCTAGCTCCAAGAGAAACACCAATGGTTTATAAACATCAGGTAGGATGCTCAGCCCCTTGTGAACAGAAACAAACCCTGGGAAGATCTCCTGCACAGGTGCGGTGGGCACTTTCCATGAAGACCCCTGGGAACCAGTAGCTACCCCTGGGATGGAGGTAGCATTGTGTCTCTCGCTGGGTGTGTCCGGGAAGCAGAACTGGTAGAGCGGTGATTTTTGAATTCAACGTGAAATGTAAGTGATAGGAGTAGTCAGTATAGAAGGCAAGCCCCGGTGGGGTAGCGGGTTACGTGTTGGGCTGCCAACTGCAGAGCCAGTGGTTCAAAACCACAAGCTGCAACTCTGGTAGGGGAAAGATGAGGCTCTCTGCTCTCAGAAAGATTTGTAGTCTGGGAAACCCACAGGGGCAGTGTGACGAGTCAGAATCGCCTTGATGGCAGGGAGAGTTTTGTTTGTTCGTTTTGTGTTTGAGATTTGGGTACTCAACAGGGAAAACATAAGCTCCACGAGGGGATGGGGTACATGCAAATTTAATTCTTTGCTCTCTCTGAAACGAGCCAAGCTATCCCCACTCCACCTCCACCCCAGGCACTCCGAGTGGTTGGTCCAGGGAACAATGCCGCCCTACATGTCCATCCAGACCCAGGGAGGTGACCCTTGTTGGAGAGCCTCACTCAACTCTGGGAAAGGCAAACTGACAGACCCTGGGGATAGTGGTCACCACCCTCAGACAAGGGAGCGGGAAGAGGAAAGCGGCTGAAGGGGGCCAGGGTAGTGACCATGTACTAGAACCCTAAAATCAAGTGATTGGGCTGGGGGTCCTGGGCCCCAGTCCCACCTTCCCCTGGAGTCTTCCTCGTCCTCCTGATTCTGGGGAGTAGGCTATCACTGACAGTGGGGTCCTGGGAGCTGAGAAATAGCCCCCTTTAGACTCAGGCTCACTCTGGCAGCCCTGCTTCCAATGGAATGGGTGTGACAGAACCAGGCCTTTCCCTCCCAGAGGCCTCCCCTCCCAGCCAGCTGCAAGGCCCGGAGCCCATCATTAGCACTCTGCTCTCAGGGGCTTCTGAGGTCAGTAACTGTGCACGGTGGCCTGAGCGGAAGATGTGCGGTTGGGGTGGGTGGAAGGAGGCGGTGAGTTTGATGAACCCTTCCTTGTCCAAAGTCACCCAGAGCGCTCTGGTGGCTGGTGCTAAGCCACCGGGAGAAATCTTCTAAAATCCAAGAGAAATTCTG